TTACTTGATTTTATTCTATTAATGTCTAAATTTCAGAAGATGGGAATCAAATTTCCCCCTTCCCCCTCACTTTCATTTCAGAAGAAAATAAAGTTTTCTATTTTGAAAATAGATTCAAAGAGGAAATTTTTTTTAGTTGCCAATTTCTATTATTTTTTAGCACTTTGAAATTTCAAAAGGGGCGAAATTCGCCCCCTCATTACCATTTCGGAAGAAAATAGAGTGAAAATTGGAAATAAAATATTTTTTCCACTTTCACTTTACTTTTACAAAAGTCAAAAAACACATTAATCTCCCATAAAAAAATAAAGTTTCCTACCTGATGTATAACTTCAAAGCTGAGAAAGAATAGCTTTTTTTTTTTCCTTCTCTAAAATTACCTATTTTAATGGACTTCGTCTTGGCGAATAACTAAATATATTAAAATACGCAAAGCACATAAATGTTAGAGGAATATAAAGTTTTCTTATTTTAAAAATAACTTCAAAATTGAAAAAAAAAAATATTTTAAATTATCGATTTTACTTTATTTTTGTGAGTGTCTAAATTTCAGGAGAGGCGAAACGCATTGCCCACCACTTAAATTTTAGAGGGGTCCTCTGCCTCCCCCTGGTTGACACGCCACTGGGTCTGACGCTAGATAGTAGAGGAAACAACTATGTAAACCAGAAGTGCAACATACAGAAAGTGTTAACAATCAACTACATGCAGCTGTGGCCTTTCCCCTTCTCTGCAAAGCGTGTTTGTTCCTTTGAGAAAGGGAAACGGAAATAATTCGCGAAAAGGTGTTTTACCATTTTTTACCCTTTCCTTTATGTCATAACAGGTACGTAATTACAAAAAAGAAAATTTTCAGCAACTCTTCTATCTTAACACAATTTCTTTCCTACATATATATAATTAGAGTACTGTATTTTGAAAAAACATGATGTGGTCACTTCATATGGGGCCCCCTTGACCGACGGGGCCCCGGGGCGGTGCCCCGAATGCCCCGTCGTAGTTACGGTCCTGTGGGTATTACGGAAGGGCTTTACTATTGAGAAAAACAAATGTATAGATGCAGGGTACTGCATCTATGCATTTGTTTTTATCAATAGTAAAGCCCTAACTTCTTGAATCATCGATAATTCTCCCTCTTCCTATTAAGTCATAAAGCTAAAAAGTTAACATTCTAAAATTTGTCCAAATATTAGAAAGTTAACATTTGGACAATTATGAAAATGTATGATAGCTAATAACTTCATGATATAAAACTTTGTCAGAAAAACTAAAATAGTTTAATTTTGTTTTGTCTAACAATCCGGGTAATTATTCAAATTGGCAGATAACACGTTTTAATTAAGACAGCACTCTCAATTTGGGTGATGTGTTCTTTATGAGATAAATAGAAAAAAAAAGTTTTCTTTCGATATTTCGTGATTATCGAAATAATCATCTTAAGTTACAGTAATAATTCACAATTGAAGTTTCAAATATTAACCATTATCAAGTTATAAGTATGAATTTAAAAAAAAAATGTTTTATTCTGATGTTTGGTAATTATAATGTTGATTTGTCCAATGGACAACTAGTGCAATTTTCATTTTGAAACTTAGCTTAGTAGGGTCCCGCAGTGGACTGATCGTTAAGACACGGTTCCCAGCAGATCACCGAAGTCAAGCATCACTGGCTACAGATCAGTCTGCGTAGGGACCGAGGGTGTGCGGTATTGGTCCTCGTTAAACTGTGNGGAATCGTAATTATTTTTTAAACTTGTTTTTCTTGTCTAAACTTGCAAATTTTTTTATTCTTTTAAATTTTGTTTTTCTACAATTTTTTTCCTTTTTAGATTTAGGAGTGTTTTTCTTTTTTCTCTTACTTTAAAATGTGTTTACATTTTTTCCTTGTAATTTGGGTTTGATAAAACATCGATTAACGACACTTTTTTGTCGGTCCAGGAAACCGGGAAATTAAGACATCCGGGATAGCGATGGTCCCGAGCATCCCGGATAATTGGTTCTTTATTGTACAGACTTTAGTATTTTTATACATTAGTATTGAATTGGTTTTTTAAAATAAAATAGTTATTCAATTTGTTTATTTTTTAAAAGTTTTTGTGCATTTTTATTACAGTGTCAAGGGTTTTTGAATAATGTTTTATTAAGGAAATGGTATTTATTTAAAGAGTATCTACCTAATATAGTTTTGTGTTGCTAAATCTGTGTTTAATTATTTTATTTCCATTTAATATTTTTAAACAATTATTGCTCTATTAGTGTGTAAAATTTCTTGCATTCTTATATTTAATAAATTTTTTACCTAAAATTCCTTAGAAGTGCCAAATGTTGCATACCATGCACCTTTTTTTACCCCTCCTGAAATCTCCTGAATTCTTGTTAGGGAAACTCCTGAATGTTAATTTTGCTAGGTTGGCACGTCTGGGCTTCGGAGATCTCTCCAGTACGAGGAAAATATTTCATTTAAAACGAAACCGTTAAGAGACTCTGCTAATTCTAGCTAGTTTCAGAGCAGCATTACAGATTACAAATATTTTCCGATGTGTTTTGGGTGTTCCTTCTTTAAAAAAAAGATATTCCATTTTGTTTTCACTTGCATACGAAAGAAGGAACACTACCAGGCTACACTGAAGAAATCCCCAGTGCAACTGATGATCCTGTTGTTCTGCTAGCATAAATTCTTCTCAAATAACAACGTCCCCTATAAGTCGTTGCATTCGTGAATACGAACTTTGAAATCGGCATTAATGGCAAAATACATTCCACCGAACAGGTTATAATATATGTGTTAAGAAGCAATTGCAGTTGTTTGTTTTCGTTATTCAATCATAGAAGTTCATACAAGATTTAGTAGGAAAGAGTTTGCATTGGTGAACCATAAGTTCTTAATTTTTTTTTTATACCAATAATCTATTTCATGAGTATGTGCTACACTGTTTTGATTTTTAATATTGTGATAGATCAAGTGCATGTAATTATTTTGCATTTCATACAAAAATTGTAACTAAACTATTTAACTTGCTTTTGCACTAGTGTATGCATTTTTGGTAACTGTTAGTATTATCAGGAGCGGTTGTCGTAGAGTATATCGGGAGTGGTTATTATATTCTTTAGAATTTTTTGAGATATTCATTGAGGATTTCTGTCTTCTGTCATCTTTTCTGTCATTAAACTGTAATTATCACAGATGACCATTTTCCTCTATTCATGCATCCCTCAAATACTCACATTGAATTGAGTGAATATAAGTTTTCTTTAGCATATAATAACAACTATGTAATACGATAACTATTATACTACTTGTATAATAGTAATCTTATTAACTGCTTGTATAAAATTATCTATCCCTTTCACTTTAAGTGTTATTGGGCTTTAAAGTAGGTCAGGTATTTCTTAAAATAGATACACTATAAATTTTTCAATATTTCTAGCCATCAATTTCTTTCTTTTTTCTTCAGCACATCCTCGGAAGAAAATGTTCAATTTATGTACAGTACAGAACCCGTTATCCGGAAATCAGAAAACCGGAACGAAATTCGATAAATTTTCCCCCCATTTTTAAAAAAAAAAATTTTTTTTCCTCATAAGATTTTAGGATTTTTCTTTCTTTTTGGAAAGATGTTTACCTTACTATCATTTTGGAAATAATCATTAGTGTATTACTCCGTTTTTTCAATATTTCCAAATATTATTTTTTTTAGTTGGGTTTAACAATAAAAAAAACGGCTTTTTGTAGCGATTCAGAAAACCGGAAAAATCAGTTATCCGGAATAGCGATGGTCCCAATCGTTCCGGATAATCGGTTCCCTACTGTATCATAACTGCTGCTTAATTAAATGATGGTGGTAGATCTGAAGATTTATAGTTTTCAACCTCATCACTTGCTTCCTGTCACTTGCTTTCATATCCATTACAGATTTCATAATTTCTGCTATTGAAATCGCCTCTGATTAACAAGTCATCGATGGTTATCATATATCAAAACATATCAATGTAAAACTACCTTTCCTGGAATGCTTACCTTTTCTAAACTTATTTGGAGTGTTGGTATTGCAGGAAAATAGTATTAAAGAATGCTCTAAATACCAGGATTTTTTTTTAATGAACTTTTTGTTTCGGGACAAAAAAGACCTAGTTGAAAAGACATAAAAAGCAGGAAATCCTTGTTATATATATATTTAAGTGTATATTGTATGTAAATATATCTCTCTCTCTCTATGTAACATAAAAACCTTCAATTAATCTTTTTATGTTAGTTCTTTTCTGAATATCTTATTCTTTTATTTTATTATTCAAAACGAAATACTTTCTCACACTTTTAAAAGCCACATCCTGTTCTTAAATCTATTTTTGGCTCAAGCATGCATTTAGTTAAAAGCAGGATATTTTTCCCTTTGCTCTCTGTGGGAACCACTCGACCTATTTGATAAACCAATTACAATTACTAAGATTTCCCTCTTTTCCTAAATTAAAACATTTTACGGATTTTACTTTGCAGGATTATCCCTAACATATAATGAAGAAACACAACTTTTTGTACACACTTTCATGACTGCTCTGTCCTAATATGTAATAAATAAATTTTGTATCCTCCTTCCCAGCCTAAGATCTGTTTTATTCCTTCCATTCGGCAACAATGTTATATATATCAGGGTGGCCACCCACCTGGAAAACCTTGAAAACCTAGAATTATCAAGGAATTTTTTTATACTGGAAAAAACCTGGAAAAATCATGGAATTTTAAAGAAAAGCTGGAAATTTTTTCTTTGATAATTTTTTGAATTTCAATAATTTAAATTATTTACTAACTTTCTTAATTTAAATTATTTCATCCATTATACCCACTTTCGTTAGACGGTAATGTATCTCCCAACAGTACAAATATCATCAACTTAGCGATACTTTGCTTGCATCAAAATTTGCCCCTTTGCAGCTCTCTTAAACTAGAATGCCACATAAAATTCTCCCATGGTTGCTAAACGAATGTAGAAAACTTTGACTGCTATGGGACTGTGCAATTTAGGAAAGATTGTGGTGGAGGTGGAGGAAGGGATTAGGATATTAGCTTCTGTTTTTGAATTCTGGCCTTGGGCTGAATCTATATACGACTCAAATTTGTTCGATGCTTTCGTGGTAATTTTTTGACAAAATGTTTTTGTATTTTTAACTTTGTAAAATTTTCCAAAAATTAGTTGGTTATAATTTGATAATAATAGATTTTATATTGTTTTCTTTTTCTGAAAGCTTTTGTATTCCAATTCAAAGAAATCTGTGAATTATTTTTTCTCAGCAAACCACCCAATCACACATTTTTTTTTTTTTACAATCGCTAACAGCAATGTTTGTCGACAAATTGTTGCATTAATGGTAATTTTTTCTATTTCTAACCTTTTATAACATTTTTAATTTAAAAAAAAAAGGTTTTTTTGAGAACTAACTATATATTAATATGCATTTAATTTTACTCTTTTGTTGATCAATATATGAATTTTGATTCAAAATTTTGTACCAAAACATTAAAAAATAAATAAAAAATTTTCCCAAATTGTCAAAATAAATTATTTTTTTCAAGATAATATGTTAAAAAAATAACATTTTGAATGAAGTATTTCATAATATAGGCACTTTTCTTGTACACATCCTACACTTAATAAGGAAAAAGAAACAAAAACCTGGAAATTTTAAAGTTTTTATCTGGAAAACCTGGAAAAATCAGGGAAATTTGAAATCTGATTTGAGTGGCAAACCCTGCATACATATATATATATGTAATACAAAAATTATAAATACTTTTGTCTTAATAAAAGCATTAAAACTCTTTCGTTTTCATATAATATCTTTGGTAAAGGATAAGTGTAGAAATTCTATTTTGGGACTTCAAGGTTGAAAACATACCAATGAATAATAATTAGATTTATATTTCAAAAGGGAAGTTATTTTAAGATCTTTCACTTCCATATAAGGAAAGATTAAACGATTTGCTATGAGTAATAAATAATTTTGATGAGGCGTAAGAATACACAAGGAAGGCAAATGACTAGCCTCTTCACAACTTTTAATCATCCTATAAAACGCAGGAGCAATGTTTTTTGCGTGGCTTTTTGGTATTTCATGCTTACAAATTAAACTCAGTCAGATCTGACTGAAACTCTCCCTCTCCGGCTGGAGAGGGGTGAAACTGCTATTTCACCATCGTTNTGTTGTTCATACCAATTTCAAACCTTATTCCTGTGGCTTATGTAATAAGCGTTTTTCTTTTAAAAATGGCTTAAAATCACATAGTTTTGTTCACACAACTGATAAACCTTATTCTTGTATTGTCTGTAATAAAAGATTTACACAAAAGCATCAGTTAAAAGCGCACAATCTTGTTCATAGTAAAGAAAAGATTTATTCTTGTAGTATGTGCTCCATGAGTTTTACTGAAAAACACCATTTAATTTCAAATACTTTCGTCCATACTAAAGAAAAACCTTTCACTTGTGGTATATGTCAGAGAAGTTTTTCACTTTAAACTAATTGAAATGCACACATTATGATTCATAAAGGGGAAAAACCTTATTCGTGTATCGTATGCAGTAAAAGTTTTACTCAAAAAAGAAATTTAACACATCACTATCTTACTCTCACAAATGAAAAACCTTATTCTTGTAGCCAATGTAATAGGACTTTTGCGCTCAAACATCATTTAAATAATCATATTCTTATTCATACTAAAGTAAAACTGTATTGTTGTAACATATGCAACAAAAGTTTTTCACTTAAGCATCATTTAACTAGACATACCCCTATTCATACAAAAGAAAAACACAAGGACATACAGTCCTGACGTTAATTTTTTATGTTTCATGTTATGAATTTTTCTGTTGTTGAGTTGTTTAAAGTTAGCGAAACTGTTAGAATAAAAAATCTTTATTATTGAGTGTTATGAATTTCATTTAATTTATTATTTACTCTTACAAGAATGGTTTTATGGCAACACGAACTTAAAGTTAAAATTTTAACAAGATTTCATAAGTTATTTTAGTGTTTAAATAGAAATGCAGTCAACTTATAAAGCAGAATTATATTTGCCTTTAAATTTTTTTTCCCCAGAAATGTTTTAAGTGAACCTGTATCTGAAAAAAATAATCTGATTCTTGAGATAAATGCAAACACAAGAAAAGTAATACAATTGTAACCCAATCAAACTCTTGTTCTATAAAAATAATGTTTTTGAAGCAGGCTTTCAACTTGTATTTAAAAAAATACCATAAGCAAATTTTAACTTTTGAGTGCCAAAAACTATATTTTACCAGATTTAACAGAAATTTGTTACCCTATAGGGTGAAATTGGAGTATTTTGCTACTGACTAATGGCCACTTTTTTTAAAAAATTTTTATGATTGCAAAAGATTATTAATCTTAATACGGTAAAACATTTCTTTTAAAGCATTTATTAAAATATAGTAATCAAAATAATAATTTATCAAAATATAGCTTCATTTCTAAAATGAAGGAAAATTTTATAAATCAAATGTGAAAAAAAAATCGTAATAATTATATGTTTATTAAAACAGTAATAAAATGCACATGGAATGTATTTTCCATAAAAAATGTGGCAATGGGCTGATGACTGTCAGAAAATATTTCAATCACCATTGATTATATTTAGTTGACCTGTGGTTGGTGGCAACTGTTAATTTTGTCCCTGTTACCTTTTCAAACAAATGAAATTTGTTTTTTGAAAAGTATTTTCGTATTCAACTAAACATATTCAGATTTGTTTTATATGCTTATTGTTTTAAAAACATTATGAAATTTTGTATCTTATTTTAAATTATTTATTGTTTTATAACAAAATCTATATTACTACCCTAAACTTGGTTTTATAAAATCTATTTTGTAGAAATTTATTTATCTTCTCTTACTTGGAAATTTATTAAATAGTTGTCTAGAAGGAATTTAAGAAATTTTTAAAACCTAACTGATTTGAAAATAAATTTCTAAAATTTAGCTTCATTTTTTAAAGTATTTAATAATGCATTTATCTCACAGTAGATTGATTGTAAAACATTATTGCCAGTCGATTACTGAAGTTAAGCATTACTGGAAGTGGTCAGTAAGTGACCACTTTGATCAGTCTGAAAAGGCACCCAGGGTGTGCATTATTTGTTCTCATTATGCTGTTGTACCTTAATCAAGTAGTATAATCTCATTATACAGTTCTACCAGGCACGGGTTACCAAAGTAGGGAAGCTATCCCTTCCATTGAGGATCAAAATTGTAATTCCTCAGGGATCTCCCTCTGACCGTTACTAACAGCCCGTTGAGCAGTTTTAATGCGATGTAAATAAAGTACTTGTTACAAATAATAATAAATTCAGTTTTATATTTTCGAAATCTTCATTTAATGTGATTATAATTTCTTTTCAAATCTTCTTATTTCAATATCAATCCTTTGATTTAAAAATTTCAATTAAATTCCAACTACTTATTCGAATCATCTACTTAAGTTAATCATGTGTATTTTTACTTATGAAACACTTTTGAAGACTCTTCTTGCAAGTTGTTTATCAGAATTTTGTTATTGTGAAAACTTAGCGTAATTTTAGTTGCAAACATAATAAAATAAATGCATTCTACCATTGTATAATATCTCCAAAAAATACTGTCATGTTCCTTCTGTTATTAATAATATAGCTTGTAAGATTAGAACAGTTTTTATAGTAATTTATTATTGTTTTTTGATTGTGAACTATGTTATAACTAGTAAATGCATTTCATTCATTCGAAATCTTTCTTCTTACTTTTCAATGTGCCATTTTCAATAGCTAAAAATGTTTTTGTTTGAAATTTTTATAGGTGAAAGTTATTATCTTTTTACTTTAATGTCATGCATATTTTTTAAATTTTCATTGTTTTGACATTTTTTACTATTAATATATTTGAAACTGTTAATTGTGAAAAATGATTTTGTTCTTAATTTTTCTTTTACTTAGAAAAAAGCTTGACTGATTTTATTTTGTGAAATGGTTGCACTGGTGGCCACAGGGTGACTAAATATGATAAAGTGATTAAAATATCGTCTTTATTTTTTTAAAAATAAATACGGAGTTATTATGAATATTTTATACTATATTCCCTAAATTACTTTATTTTAATAAATGTGATACTTTGTAAATAACGTTTTACATTTTTGGTATCAACTGTCCTTAAATTGTTTTAAAAAATATGGAAAAATTATTTAAAAAAATATGTTTAAAATTAAATTGTATAGAAATAAAATAAAAAAAAGATTGCTGTAAGAAAAGTTATAATTAGCCAAAAACAAAATTTTCTAAATTTGCCCTCTAGTGCCACTGATAATTTCTTATTTTATTTTATTACCAGTGTTGAACAATCAACCCAATTCTGAGTTTACGACTCTCAATGTTCAACTTGGTAGTCTTGTAATTTTGAACCCAATCCAGAAGACAAGGGAACACTTAGATCAAGCATTGGGATAAACTAGCCTTCATGGTTAACATTTTAATGGAACTAACCAACATTTGCATTACATGGAGAGGAAAACAACGAAAACCTCCCCCTGTTAGCTTTATGACAAGAGGATTCAAACCCATCATCTATCTTATCTATCTACATGTGAGGATATTTTATGTCAACTCTGTGGTCAGTGTGAGCAGAATTGGAATTGACCACTGATATAATTAGCACACCCTACTGCAGAGTTAGTTAATGTTTGTACAGTCTTTTCTGTTTTGCAGAGACAACATATGTATAGTTTAACTGGTTTGTTCATCTCCTTGGCTGAATTTCATGGGTACTCATTGTGATATACAAAATCACTTATATGCCTTGCATTCTTATTTATTTATTTTTTGTTGTTGAAATAATAGCGAAAAAGTTATTGCATTTTCTTTCAAGAGATTGATAGAGAAGTAACTGTCTTATTTTATTTAAATTCTTGCTATAAATTATTCATTTTATTCATATTATTTCATTTTATGTTTAATTGTATGTACTAGATTTTTATGGTTAAAACTGTTTAGTTTAAATAAAATGTTAAAAATAGTAAGTGTTTGTATTATTGTGTTTTTTTTAAAATTCATAAAACATTTGGTTGTCAGATCATTTGAGTCTGAGAAAATCTGGAAAAATAGAAAACTCAGAGATTTAAAATCTGCTTAAATAACTACAGCAAAATGTAAATTAAATGAAAACATTTGTTGAAATCCTGAAAAAGTTGAAATTTTAGGATTTTTTTTTTTACTTAGAAAAAAAAATTAAGAAAAATAGTAGATTTTTATACAAAACTCTTTCCTTAAATTTGAGTTTTCAACACACATGTGTCTTTTGATCATTTCTGTGAAATTAAATCTGTTGTTGGTCATTTGCTGTGGTAATTCTAGGTTAGAAAAAAGCTTTTATTGAAACTTTAAAAAATTTATTCATTGTAATGTTTGGATAATTTTTTTGAGATACAATTATTACTTAGAGAATTTTGATTTACTTTTTAAACTAGAGGCAAGTTTTTTTTCTTTCTTTTTAATGTTTTTTATGTGGTTAATGATTTGCAGTATTATTTTTAAGATTTTTAAATTATTGTGAATTATTTTAACTCTTAAGGGTCTGATTTGTAAGTGCATTCATATGTTATGAAATTATATATGGTTGGATGTAATCTTAATATTTCATAACATGACCAGTGAGTATATTAAAATGATCATATTTTTGCATTGATTTTGATGCATTCGACTGTTAATTTTTAATTCTTTAAAAAAATTTGTACTATTTTTTTTAACTGAAATATTTTGTTAGTAAGACTTGTTGTTCTAGTCTAGAGGAAAAGGAAGGAAAATAATAATTAATTTTTCAAGAAATTAACATTAGGGATAAACCTTGAGTTTATTCTGGCTGGGGTCTTTTTTATATAAAATTTTATGAACTGTTAGTGTATGAAAAAAGTTTGTTATATAATTGTCCATTGTTATATAATTCTCTATACATAGAGAAGAATAGGTACATCTGTTTGTCTTTGAACCATTTAATTTTTTTTATGAAGCTTAAAAATCCTATTACCTAAATTTTTTAATCTTTAAAGTTTATCTATGATTATTTAAATATAATAATTACTTTTTTAGATTTATTAAAGGTGTGCTGTTGCAACCAAAGTTAACAGCACAGTAAACTACCTTCAAATTATTTTTTGAATTATTATTATTATTTTTTTAAACTTATTTTGATTTCAAATTGTCATTGTGTTGTTGGGAAAAAATTTCTTAATTGTAAATTATTTAATTTTGTTGCCAACATGTTTTAATGAAGTACTTTTCATTCCAAAAGAAGTAAAAGAAAACAACTTTTTTAAATTTAAATTGAATAAATTTGCCATTAATGATTTTGCAGACAAGAGTGTATGATATCCCCCATCTCTTAACATTGGTTCTCTGAATTCTTAGTAAAATACACAATTGAGTCTCAAGTATAAACTACTAAGTCTAGAAAACATACAACTACATTTGTAGTAAATGTTTAAATTTTCATACCATTTCTTACACTAATATTGAATGCAATAGTCGCAATCATTTTATAATTTATTGAGTAATGTCAAATAGAAATCACTCTAGCTTTTGCTGTTACGAAACTTTTTTATTAAATACATATAGCATTTACATATTAGCATTAATTACATATGGGTTTTGAATTTACAAATGGCATATATAAACATTACAGATTATCTCAAATTTGGTGCCACTATTTATTTCTCTTTACATTTAGAGGCCTTGGGGCTGTATAATGATAAACCACATTTTAAAATTGTTTGGTTAAGCGTTTTTGGTGGAATACACCATGATTTCATAGTAGGCAGTATGATGTTTCTCTGTATTGTGCTAGTAGAAATGCTAGAAACGGTAAAGTACCTATTTGAAAACCATATAAGGAACAGTCTGAGGCCAATGTGTGACTTATTGCCCCAAGTCCTTCCATTGTAATTACAAACACAATACGCAATTGCAGTGTCTCAATTGTAATTTCCTACTCAGACTTTAAATTTTATAGATTGAGAATATTTCTAATTTAAATGTATGTTGTAAGGTAGAAAAATTGCTTAATCTTTTATTGAGAGAATAAACTTTATTTGTAGGAAATAAAATATACGTTTAAACGTTGTATAATTATATAATGATTTCCGAGCAAATATGATTTTTTCTAAAAAAAGTTGATCAGCAGAGGCCATTTTGAAAAATTTGGAAATCTTTTTTTTTTTTAAAGTATTCTACAAAATCTCTCTAAATAAATTTAATAAATAAAAACAATGCCTTAAGGAGTTAAGACACTTGTATTTTTTTTAGCAATTCGACTTATGGATGATGTTGCGTTATAATTATTTGAAATTAATTACTTGTATCGCATTAATTGGATTAACAAATATTTTTTTTATCCCTTGCAAGTGCTAGAAAGTTTTTTGACCAAGAGTTCTTGAAGTTAGTCATAATTTTTTAAAACTATTTTTGTCACAAGTTCTTATCAGACCGTTTGGGTTTAATATAAAACAATAAACAGAAGGGTGGCTATGTGAAACAATTCGTTTCAATTTTTATATTCTGTAATAAAATGAGGGTTGTGCTTGTTTTTATAAGAAAGTGAACACATTAGGGAACGCAAATTTAATATCTAATTCAGAAAGAAACCAAAACGTTCTGACGAATCGCTTTTCAGGAGAAGGAGTTTAAAAACGGGAAAACCTGTTTCATTGCTAGACTGAACTTAATGCGTTTAAAACTATTGCAACTTTTTTCCTTTTTCCCAGATTTTGTATTTTTAAAGCATTTTGATATCGGTTTAGTTTTTTCCTCACCTGAACATTATTTGAAAAAATTTGATTTCTCAGGAACTATTCGACCAATTTCACTCAAATTTTGCCAATTAAAAATTGCATTCATTAAAATGATATAAAAAATTGTTTACCTTACAATTCAAATTTTTTTACTATCATTAAATAACTAATTTACTAAAAGTTATATTTTGTATGGGATAATCTTTATATATAAAAATTTACAACTGAGTACAAAAAGCTTTAAATTCGCGTATAAAGTTCTCGAGTTTTAGTGAAATACGCAAAAAAAAAAAAAAAATGCCATAAAGGGGTCCAAACTCCTTACTAAACTATGGAACCATATTTCCCAGATTACGGCTACTCCCTATATTTCAAAAGTCAGAAATCCCAATCCATCAAAAAAGAATTTCCGTTTATTCAGAAAAAAGTACGTTTTTGTGACTGATTTTGTAACCTAAAATATCATCTGCGCTAATTAATTTGCATATTTGAGCTCATGTCCAAGATTAAGTCCCAGAACCTGAAGATCTTATCATTAGAGCAAAAGTTATATAGGATAATCTGTTTATTTTTTTGCTCATTATTCTTCATTTTTGCTGTCTCGCAGTGGACTGATCGTTTAGTTATGGTCAGCATCACTGGCTGCGGTCAGTGACCACTTGGTTCAGTCTGCTTAGGGACCGAGGATGTGCGGTATTGGTCCTCGTTAAACCGTAAAGTGCTCGTCTTCACGCGCAGGTTGTCACCGTCGCCAATAACCCATTGTGCAGACGTAAATAAACTACAGCAACAACTCTTCATTTTTGCAAGGATTCTAAAAGTATAAAGCAAGTGTACTCTCTGTATAGGTTAGAGTAGCTTAAATAACATATATTAAGTTTCATTTAAACTAATTCGGTAGGGAGGATTTCAAATCCGAAATTAGTTTTCTTCCGAAAGACTTTTTTCACAATTATATTTTTGGTTTAGTTTATTTTATGTATGAATGTTTTTAAAGAGGATTATATGCAAATAAATCTGCCCCTTTGAAAATAACATATGATCTTAGCGTATCGTATCATAAACTGATACTGAAATGTGTTATCGCTTTCTTCCCTCAGTAGAGTGGATTTAAAAATAATCCTGGTTCGGACTATATTGTTGTTAAATTGCTTAAAAATTATGGCTCGTAGGGGGAAAAAGATTTCAGATTAGCAATAAGCTAAGCATTTGTTAAAAAATCTCGTACTACAGAAAAAAAAAATTGTTCCCCAGAGTAATTAAACATTTTCAATAATTAAACATTGCAAATAGAGAAGAAGTGAAGTGATTATGGCTAACCATGTGATTTAATTGGATACGTATAAGCGACGTTACACGTGTGCATCGAACCTGATTGGTTTCTGAATCAACAAATGGCGGTTTACCTACAATGACGTTACTTGCAGGCATCCAATTATCATATTAAATAGATTTAGTCTACTTTTAAAACAGAAGTGTTTACATTTTTTGAAAAACTAGCGAAGGAGAAACAATTTTTTTGATAAAATCAAGTGTCTTAACCCCTTTTAATCTTTCAATTCATTATCTGCACCCACATTCAGCTACAACCATATCTTCGTAATCATATTTGTAGGTGACCACACCGTCATCATCCACATAAAGAATCGAAATGGGTGTTAATTTGGAAGGGACACAAGCCGCTCTGGACACTTGTTTTGGCTCAAGACTGTGCATCAAGGTTTGGATGATGGCGTGTTTCGTGGGTGCCAAGTGCGCACTCATAGGAAATGAGCATTTTCCTGTACATTCAAAAGCCTGGAAGAAAAAGGATAATAAAGAGACATATCTATCTATCATCTAAAATATTAATCAAGAAATTTGCACTGTAAAAAAGAATACAGTATTTTTTTAAATAATTCATAGATGTAAAAGAATATTAATATATCATGATATTTGTTTAGTTAAATTTATATTCAGCTTGAAACGAGTAATGAATTCAGCATTTTAAAATAATTCAGGTGATACAAAAGAATATCAATATATCAAGAAATTTATTGGGGCCGGGATTGCCTGGTTGGCAGGGTGCTGGACTCACGTTCGTGAGGACGGTAGTTTGAATCCAGTTGACCGAAGACTCCCCGTATAGTAAATAGTGACTGGTGCAAGTTAAATTTGTTGAGTCACTAAGTCCTCCATGTTCCCATTAAAATTTATACCTTTTGGGGATTCTGAATTGGAGATCGATCGTTCTCTGGTTCAGATCAAAATCACGATCTGTGGATGCATGAATGGGTCTATAAACGGGTATGACGTATGAGTGTGACAGATGTCGAATTCTTGGCCATAGATGGCGCCACTGGAAAACAAGAACAATCACACCCCTTGCCTTAATGGCCTACGACGACAACAACAACAACAAGAAATTTATTGGATAATGTTGTGTTGAGCTGCAAAGAAATAACGGAATTCAATCGATACTTCTAACATTTGATGTTTTAATGAAATATATTTTTAAGGGGTGTTGAACAAAATTAAAAAAAATTACAAAACATATAAAGCACTCATCACAGCTTAGGAATCAATCCTGTTCTGATTATTAATGTATTAGTTTAAATTATTTATATGTGGGGCTGGGGGGCAAAACTCTTTCAATTTAGTACAAATTATTATGCATTATCGAGACTGCCATTAAGAAAAATAATTTTTAAAAATACGTTAATTCCGTAGTAGTTGGAGATATGAGTTTAACTCATTTAAAACTAATGTTGCAGAATTACAACATTTTGCTATGACGTATTTTTATGGAAAAAAGTGTTAAGCCTTTATGGAAAATTAGGTATTTTCTAGTGTTACAAATAATTTCGATTGAAGATTCCGTACATACCAGATCATGTAATGGTTATGTATCTTATTCACACTTATGGCGAGTACGGATGTCTTGATATGGAATGATAAAGTATAAAATAAATAGGGTTTTTAATATTCTTTATCATTTTGCAAAAGTTTATGAAATAGTCTTCTCGTTTTTGACACAGAGTTTTTATTTAAATGTTTTTTCTTAATACTTTTTTATTATTTAGTATTAATTTAGGTCTATTTTAACCTAAATTAATAGTTTTAACATAAATTTAAAAAAAAATATTATATTTAGCTTTTTAATAATTTAAGGCTACGAAGTACATCATGAAACACCGATGTTTTTTTCCCGCGTTTAAGGTAAAATCTTTCAAACACGGCTCACTTTAAAGCAATCTATGATTTTTTTTAAAAAATTCGCGCTTATTTGGAGTTATTTAGATCTAAGAGAAACAGTTATTCATCATTGAAATTTCTCTAATTTTAGAAATGAATTATCGATAAATTTTTGAATATGAATAATAAAAAAAGCAATATTCAAACTTTTTTTGCGTAGATTTTTCAGTACAAATATAATTTTGATAATCTAACAGAATTTTTTCAACACAAATATAATTTTGATAATCTAACAGATTTTTTTTAATCAAATGTAATTACGATAATCTAATATGTTATTTAGTGACTATTATACTGTTGTTTTAATTAAAAAGTACCAAAATATATTTTTATTTGTAATTAGAGCGTTAGAGAAAATATATTTAAAAAGTACACCTGTGTCCCATCTGCGTCAAAGGGTTAGTCTTAACTAAACAATTATCTCGGGCTTTTAAGTTAAGAGTTAATAGGTTAAATTATAATGCTGTCAAATAATTATTTGTTTAAATATTTCTGTATAAGTTTTGTGTGAGTGCAGCGTGGAGCAATTTTTTCCTCACACGTGCTTGTTAAAAAAGTAATAAGCAGAGACTGTTACTAACCTCGTAGCTTGGTGGCGCTATAATCCATTGATCATAGTTAATTGCTGCAAAGTTGACGTGAAGGGGTTTCCTTCTGCAAGGATTCTTTTTCCTCTTGAGCTTCCCTTTTCTGATCCTCCCTAGTTCTTCAACTATATAATTGCTTTGCTCTTCAGATTCCTCATCTTCGTCTTCACTCCTCCTTTTTCGATAATGCTCTTCGAAAGAACCTTTATGGAACAACAATAATTATTTTATATTAATTTATGTTATATATATATATATATATATATATATATATATAGTCTCNAAAGCAAAATATATTAATACAATAGTGTGAGGAGCACTCAAAAATTTTTTTTTACAAAAATTACAACAAATAAAATAGAACACAATAAGTAAAAATAACACGTAAAAACAGAAAATATAATAAAAGAAAAAACAGTATAAAGCAAAAACAAAAACAAAAAAACTATAAAGCGAGTATCGAAATCAGATGAACTTACATGGACGGGAAATTTTCCAAGAATGACTTAAAAATATTTTCGCAACGAGATTGCCAGATTACAAAATATGAAAACAAAAGCGCAAATTGAGTGCAACTAGAGGAATCCAAAGTGCCGTTCTTACAGCATTGCTGAAGTAATTTGTTATGCTGTGCATTGATTTGTTAGTTACCAAGGATGGGCCCGAAATGGATGTGCGCAAGGTAATATTATACTGGATAATTTAAAAAGTTGACCATAAATAATATTAGAAAATAAATATTTATTTAAGAAAAAATATAAAATGGAAGAGAGAAACATAAATTGCCTGTTTTGAAATAATTTTAGCCACGTATTTGCCCAAAATGGATTTGCACATGGAAAAATCAATACAGAAATTTTTAGTAAATAATTTTAGCCACGGATTTGCCCGAAATGAATTTGCACATGGAAAAATTGTAAAAATTAATAAATGAATTTTTAGTAAATAATTTCATCCACGGATTTGCCCGAAATGGACTTGCAAATGGAAAAATTATAAAAATTAACAAAGAAATCATTTTTAGTAGATAATTTTAGCCACGAATTGGCTCAAAATGGATTTGAACATGGAAAAATCATATAAATTAACAAAGGAAATTTTTTAGTAAAGGAATTTTTTATTAAATAATTTTGACCACGGATTTGCCCGAAATGGATTTGCACATGGGAAAATTATATAAATTAACGAAGAAAATGTTTAGTAAATATATCCCCAAAAATATACGATTAATTCCATGATTTTATATAAAATTTTATTACTTTAGTTCGGTATCCTTTGTTTTTTATCAAATTTTGAAAGAGTTTATCGATTTGTTTTTTGGATAAATAAATATTACTACATATTCTTTTNATAGGGAGAAGGATTTTATTTTTAATCAATAATAATGTATTCACCCTCGTTAGCAACAACCTTTTAATGCAGGATCAAAATGAATCGAAATAGATCTAAAAAAATAAATTGGTTTTTAAGACTAACGAATATTTAATGCACCGGAACGACATTACTTTATTCAGAACTTTACTCGACATTACTTCATTCAAAAATTCAAGTTATTTAGTTATCATACTTAATAATAAACCTTTTCTATATTGTAAATTCGCAGATACTGATGAAAAAATGTCAAAATTTTTACTTTTATAAGCTTTTGAAAATGAAATTTATTACCAGGCTGTTTTACACATAACTCTTAAGTTAATAACATTCTAATATTTTCCTTAAAGAATAACTTATAAAGATGTTAACCTTTGCTTTTGTTTCGCACTAATGCATTGAATTCTTTCACATTTTCAGTATTTTGAAAAACAGTTTGATTGTTAAAATTTCTTCTGAATTCTTCCAAAGATCTTTTCATTCTGGTGAATATTTTATCATCTTCATCTGTTGACTTCGTCAGTGTTTTAGATAACACAAGCAACTGTGGCCCATACGTTGAAAAGGCATCAAGATCAAGAAAAGGTGAAATTTCTTGTGGAACCACAAGTTCAAGAAGCATCTTCTCCTTGTTTTTCAAAGATTCTATGAGAAATTCTGTAACATTTACTGTAAGTAGTAATTCCTCTTTTAAGTTTATCGATTTTGTTGTTAATAGACGGCTGGAGATCTCTGAAAATTTGTAGAACTCGATGTTGAATATATCTGTAAAGAAAAAAAACGAGTATTACAATTTTTGTAAACATTAATTGTTTAAATCTCATAGATCAATATCGAAATTTGTTCAGGTACAGGACAAAATAACAAGAGCTCTTCTAAACTAACGCTATGAAAACAATCCTTCTTTTAGCAGAAAATGTTTTGGAAGATTTTACATAGCAAAACTGTTGGCACGATTTAAAAGATTATGCTTGAAACTTTTATGCTATTTTTATTGAAAGATATTGCTTTTTTTGATATTTTCCTTTAAGCAAAGCTTGCATCGACCGAAATGAGAGCTGGAAGTTAAATGTTTCTTTCCTTTTTTAATACTACTGTATTTTTGATTTTTATATAAATATGGCAATCCTAAAGAATCCATGGTTTCCAATTAGATGTACTTGATAAAATTGGTCTGAATTTTAAACTCAGTTGAAAATATTGACTTATGAACAATGGATTTTTAGCGAAAATTCTAAACATTTTAACATATTTTGATGGCTAATCAAGAGTTGTAGCTACGAAGAATAAACTGTTCTTTTGTTTGGGGAGGAAGGGATATTCTATTTTTTTATTTGTTCTTCTTTCTTTTGACGGAATATAAATATATACAAAAAATAGCACTAAATTGTTCTACGAATAAAACATAAAGAATACGTCCATTACTTAAAAAGATTGTGTTTACAGAACAGTTTGTAGCTTATTGTCTCAAAATCCAATAACGAGTCTGATCTTCTTTTGGTAGCTAAACTCCGACTTGTCTAACATTTTCAGGATTGTCGAAATAAATTATGAGAAATATAGATAAAAAGGGGACTAGTGTGGATATTTTTTTTATATATAAAATTGCCAAAAAAGCTTACTAATTACTATTTTGAACATCTCCTGTATTGTTTTTATTCATAGTTGAATGCTTGTCTTCATTTTAAATTTTACCTAAGTTAATTTGGATGAATAGTTCTTAATAATATTCTTTTCAGTAAATAGTTGTGTTTAAACAAAACTAGTAAATAGTTGTGTTTAAACAAAACTAGTAAATAGCTGTGTTTAAACAAAACCAAACGTCAGTGAAAAGATACGCCATTTTTTTTTACTCTTTTTTTTTCTACATAAATTCAGCAACCATCGATACAATCGCTCAAAAATGAGTACAGTCCCACAAATCAACAATAAAACCTCCAAACAAAACTTGGCAAACTTCCAATCACAGCATTTTTTTTTTCTTTTTGCTTCCGGACGAGAAAAAACGTCACGACGACAACGAGAACAACGCCCGAATTTTCTCGGGATATTTGCAATATATACATACCCGAGTTAACTCGGGATAATCACGGAAGCGGTTAAGTTATAATTTAAATATTGGTCATAATATTCATTCAAATATGTTCACATAATTAGAAATATTTGTCTAAATAATTATCAAGAATATATTTCCAGGTTTTTAACGTAGCGACCTAACAGCTCCTACCTAACCAGAATCAAGCAATATTGGCCCACTTCTGACTCCGAACAACTTTAAAGCTTAAGAACGAGTACACCCCAAATATTAAGCCTACTTATGAATTATTATTCCCCATTCACCACTGCAAAAAATGCAGGAGCAATCGTATAGTAATAGAACTTTTTATCTCAATGATCATGATCAATTATCGACTGTAAGTATACTTATTAATCTTCATTATAAAAATTCAGTGGTAAGTTTAATAAATCAATTATAAATGTTTGAAGGAGAGAATACTTAATCGTTAAGTTACTATTTTTTTTTATTATTTCGAATTAATTTTTTTCCCCTTTGAATTTAAATGAAGTGCTCAGTCGACGTAAAATGCGAAATTTCGAGGGGAATTAAAGTTGTCGCATCAATGTGGGTATGTTCAATGCGACAGAATTAAATTTTTGCTTACGTTTTAATTTTCTTGTAATCCTTATTGGAACATTGGAAATGACGAAAATCTTAGGCATATAGGCAATCTTATTTTAAAGATTATATGAAACACAAAGTAATATAAGCAAGAAATTAGAGTTTATCATCAAAATATACTCTGCAGCTTAGTTGTTCCTCGTTAGTAATTTGTGATAAATGGTTTTCACATTATTGCTTTAAACAATCCACATAAGTATTGAGAATCAGAGATGCCAACTGCTCCGGCCACGCCAAAATAAATAAAAAAGTGGAAAAAAACTACAAAGTAAATTTTGCAAATATATGACTATTTTTGCTTGCTTTTTAAAAGGTAGAGCATGACCTAAGTACTTTCTTTTCTTTTATTAGACAAAAACTGGGTACCTGGGCTGCTCAGCGACCCCTATCCCATACATCATACCTGCCAACTTTCACTCTTTCCGAGAATGGATTTTCAGAGTGGTTGTAAAGCAATAAACGAAAACCAATCTGATTCAAACATATATTTATATTTTGATCCCGTTGAAATTAGCTTGCCCTAGGATTATTATGCTTTTATATATTTATTGTTATTATTTATATGTAGTGGTGGTAAAACTCATTTATAATTATCATTATAATTCAAAAAGTTAATTGGAATAACCTGAATATAGCTACCACTTTAAATATGAAAATAAAATCTTCCGGAAAATCCGGAAGAGTTGGTAGGTCAGCTCATGAAATATAAACAAGTTGATTTACAAACATTTTGTATTTTGCAACATTATAGTAGCTAGTTAAAAAGACCAAGCTCACTTGCTTGAAGAATTAAAAACATTTAACCCTTTCGCGCCGACTGTCACAAATACGTGCCAGCATAAAACCGTATCAATCAGGGTAAAAAGATAAAACTGGTAACCAAAGTAGTTCTTTAGCAGTTTATTTGTGGGCGGAGTTATAATTGTTTGATTTATTTAATTCACCATTACTTTGTTCAAAATAAAACTATTTAGCTATACTTTGAATTAATATTAGTTCTATATATGATTAAACTAACAATAATGAAAGTAAAAGCAAAGTAAGTCTATCAAATTAGCAGCGACAACATTTAAGTTACCGCTTTTTATTTAATCACAACTTGACTCTGATTTTGTACGAATGCTTTTCTGAATCACCCGTCCCCAAGGGGTTAATAATTACAAACAATTTGATTTTAGTCATTTTATACAACCATGATTAGCGAAATACACATCATATACTGACTTGATTAGAGAATTATACATTATTTGCATTAGGTAAATGATTAGAAAAAATGATATTGAGCATTAAAAACATTTTATGGTTTTAAATAGTACAAACAATTTTAATTTTAACCATGATTAGATGGCCTAAGTATATAAAAAGGTTGAATTGTATAAGCCTACGATTTATTTAGAAATAGTGGTGGATAAAAATCTACTAAATTGAATTTATTAAACCAAGAATCACAATTGATAAACTATCACTTTAAAATATATATTTGCTGTCCGGAGGAAGGTGGCATCTCTGGAGAATGCTTGCCTGATTTTTCTTTTAAATTGGGTAGTGAAAAATTAAACAAGGCAAATAATTGTTAATTTACCTTCTAATGAATCTATAACTACATATCACTTTTTCACTTCTTATATCTGATTGTAGCGACTCTGAAAATGCCTCTAACTCAGCTTATATATTTGTATAATTAATCCTTTGCATCCGATTTATTTAAATTCCGAACTGAGATGAAGCTAACAAATTAAAAAACTAGTAGTAAGTTTTTGATTAAAAAAATTTTTTCTTTTGTTAAATAGTTACTAAATATAACCTGACATCTTCACTAAATGCTTGTCATTTATAAGATGTGGTAGTTATCAGTGCATTATTTTTTTCCTAAATAGACTAATAGCAAAATATTTTAGTCAGAACTTTCTATTTATTGGTAATAAATGCATAACGAGTCTCACTCGTTAAATAGCGTGAAAGGATTAAGAATAATAAAAGTTTTATTATTACAAAAACCAGCTAAAAGTGCTTGGGTTTTCTACCAGTCTCACCTCTTTTTCATATTATTTTCAGCCCTAACTTCGAGAGTCTAATTGTCCATATGCTGTTAATTGATGCAAAGGATATTTTAAGTTCCAAAATAAGATACAAAAACGTATTTTTCCCCCGCTGTATATGGAATTTTGACCTTCAAATTATGATCTCATCAGTTTATGCAAGGAATAATAAAAATCCATAACTACCAATTGTTTTTAATGGATGCAATTTTTATATTGAATTGCTTCTTCGCCGTGATAAATTTCCACCACCTATAGAGTAGATAGACCATATCGAGGTGGCGGAGTCGCAATTATTATTAAGAACAGCATACCTGCTAACTTTCACTCGTTCCGAGTGAAAGTTGGCAGAGAGAGATTTTCAGAGTGGTTGTAAAACAATAAGCGAAAAACAATCTGACTCTAAAATATATTTATATTTTGATCCCGTTGAAATTCGGTTGCGTATGGGTTATTATGCTCTGATATATTTATTGTAATTATTTATATGTAGTGGTGGTCAAACTCATTTATAATTATCATTATAATTCAAAAAGTTAACTGAGTATTGCTACCACTTTAAGTATGAAAATAAAATCTTCCGGAAAATCCGGAAGAGTTGGCAGGTATGAGAACAGTCTCTCACATCACGAGGTTACAAAAGAAGCCAGCGGCGGCATAGAATACATTACTGTCACCTTGCAACATGGCAATAGTAGCATCAATATCACGGGAGTCTACAACCCCCCCAAGCATACTATCACCGAGACGCAGTTGAAAAACCTTTTTATTAGCAATCAGGATACAATTATTTTGGGGGACTTTAATTCTAAGCACTCCATCTGGGGCTGCAACCGTACCAATGTTAATGGCATCAATCTTAAAAAGCTCATAAATAAATACAACCTCACTGTCATAGCCCCACTTGAACCCACATACTACCCCAATAATAGTTCTCAAATTCCAGACATTCTAGACTTAGCTATCACTAATATTAAAATACCAATGAGCAGCTCGGTTATTAATGAATTAACCTCAGACCATAGACCTGTTCTCTTAAATGTTGG